AGCCGCTCACGAACCCAGAGGCTGGGGCTGTCCCATCCGTGCGTGCCTCGTCCGCCTTCCTCCTCCGTCACTTGTTCATCCAGCTGGGAGGGCGCTGGGGGCTGCTGCCTGGAAACACCTGCATGCAGGACTCTGCAAAAATATCGATAGATATATGTAGATATTTAGATATAGATTATACATATAAATATATATGATATATATAATATATTTGATGTATACCATACACTCTATACTTTATACAGTATATATTACATATTATATGTATTTTTATGGGTATGCATTTACATAAATGGTGAAGCAGACAGAAAGGACTGGCTGCTTACAGGGGTGGGTCATTGTACCTGCCCTTAAATCCACGTTTGGGGTTTTTGTGTTAAAAATAAAACAAAGAACACTTGCAATGGGGAGACCACGCCTCAGCCAGGACTTTTTTGAGGAAAGACCCCGCAAAGGGCCCGTGTTGCGGCTGCAGACGCTCCCAGGAACCCAGCTTGGCAGTGCAGGTGTCTGGGGAAGTGCAGGGAGAGCCCAGCCGGTGCGCGGCAGCACAGGGACCCACATGCCCCTCCTCAGTGACAACTTTCACACATTTAATTTCATTTCGCGCTGACGCTGCTTCTCCCACCCCGCTCTGCTCCTGCTGCCCCCAGCCCTGCTGCAGCCTTCCGGGTGTCGCTGGCACCCGCAGAGACCCAGGTTTGGACCTGTGGGAGAGGGGGGGTCTGGAGCCGGTGACATCGGGGATCCGGACAGCTCAGGAGTGGGGCGCGGGGGCGGGAACCTCACAGCACGTTCGCAGTGAGCAGCCTGAGCACGGGCCAAATTCCCATTTGCCTAAAAATAGCCTAGCCCGACCCTGCACTTCACTCACTTCCTTTGCTAACGCGCTGGCCCTAACGAGGAGTTGGCTGCTCTTTGCGTGGAGGCGGTCACAGCACGTCGGGGCAGCCGAGCACCTCCCGGGGGCCACAGGGATCATATGGGCCAACGACTGAGAGACGCATGGGGCTTGGGACACGCGTGGGCCTGGGACTCAGAGCCAAGGGGGGCTTGGGACACCCCCCGGGCTCGGGACTGAGACCCCTCTGGGGGACGGGATCCTTGTGGACTGGGGACTGAGACTCTCCCCATGGGGGGGGTTTGGAACACCGTGGGCTGGGGACTGGGACCCCCGCGCGGCTCGAGACCCCCTCGGGGCTTGGGGACCCCCGCGGCCCGGGGACTGGGACCCCGCGCGGCTCGGGACCCCCTCGGGGCTTGGGGACCCCCGCGGGGCGCGCTCGCCACGGCGCC